CAGAGCACAAGACATATGGAGCATGGTTGGTATATACATCTTATATATTACTGGTCTTGATAAACTGTACATTAGATGTGGGCAAGCCAATTTCTGGAACAGGTTTCATGCAATTTGCCTGCTTCGGACAGAAGACATTATGTGCTTGAGTTATAAAACCTTGGCTAGTGTACCCTTTTCAAGGCTTTTATCTTCATACATCTGCCTTTGTGCCTGCACCAGTTTGAGGTATAATATTTTGCCACACCCTAAATGTCCAAGGTGATCTTCATCCCACAAGCTGCACAGGTGATGGAGAAGAAGGTAAATTTTGTAGCCCAAATATCTGCCTGGAGTGAAGAGTATTGTTCTTGTGCATTGCAATACTTCTTAGATGGAGGGGATACCTGCATGAATGGTAGGGATCAGGATGCTCAGGTTTTGCTTAGATGGAAAATGTACTGCACCAGTGACTGCCAGATGATCCAGCATTGCCATGGCCTTTGCCAACAACCTGGTGAAGACAGTTGTAGTTTTCTATATGATAAAAATGTCGTATGAATCTCTTACAAAAGCTTTTGAGGGCACAATATCTTGTGTGATTGAATGATCCAATTGACCATTTCAGGATCCACAGGGTCATTCAAGCGGATGCAGAAATACCAAGAGCATCCAGTGCAGATATAAAAAACATATTCTCCAGTGATAGTATATAACATTATTTCCTTGTGCAGAAAGGGTAGCTCTCCCAAAAGGTATACATTGAAGTCTATATGTATGTATCATCCATGAAGCTAGGCTGCTTCCCATCAACCACTCAGTGGTTGATCCACAATGATTGGCTGTAATGATTTGTTCAGCCCTCTCACCCTGGCATCTATTGCATTCATTGATCCCGGATTCATTGCACTGGGGTTTCCAATGAGACCATGCTCAGTGCATTGTTAAATCAGACAACACAGACAACTTCATAGGTATAGACATCAGCAACTATCTTGAAAACAGAAAGTTACATCCACAAGCAGAAGCAGCTTTCAAAAGAGGGGTCAATCCAACAGGTGCTTGAAGCAAAAAGTTGGATACTAGAACAACTGATAAAAGACAAGGAAGGCTCTTTCATACAAGCTGACATAAGCTGAGAAAACTGAAGGTACACGTGCTAGAGAATGACATATTCATGGCAAAATCTCGGACTTAATGAAATTGCACAGGACTCAGTCAATGATGTCATATGGCCCCAGGCTGCATACATCGCATTCCACAGAGACGACACCTACTACCACCTTGAGTGGCCTATTCTTAACATTCATGCTGGCACCTGCTGCTTCCATGAATCTGGTTTAAAAGGTGCCTCTGATGGATCATTATTGTTTGCATCATGATGGATAGCCTTGTCAGTGAAACTGTATCTCTTTCAGAATGCACTTTGCTTTCACATTATGCTGAAATCAAACATTCGGTTGATAGTCTACTCAACGTCACCCTGGGAGATCCTCATAGACTTCAGTTGCAGCAGAATGTTATAGCATCATTTGAGGCTTTGCTAGAAAGGGTGCACCACTTCTCAAGTCCAATATCCAGCTCTAACAGTTCCACATAGCTTCAACATTTACTGTCTGACAAGCAAGCTATTACCATCCATAGAAATGTCCAGACTTTCAAGAGACTGCTTTGTGAAGCTGCTCTATGTTCCTCTGATCCTCTGCATATCCACTGGTTGTAATTCCTAGTGAAACCAAACCATCGAAAAGGAAAGGACAACCTTCTGTCTCTGTTGACCCACAGCTCCTTAAGGATTTAACCATGAGTTATGGTGGTGCTGCAAAAATAGGCAGACTGTTGGGGTTTAGCACAAGGACCATCCGAAGGCTTCAGCTCAAGTGGAATCTTGTATTGCCAGACAGGCACCCTTTCAAAGTTCCTACCCTCCTGGGCAATTCGGTCAAGGCTCTGCCCTTCAATCTTTCCCTTCAGGCAAGATCTCTCGGTTACCATCTATTTTTCCACTGACATCTTTCTCAGGGCTTATGCCATAGAAGGTTGTCAATATATTTGTAGATAGACATACCCATGTAGTTGCAGTAATTCAGGTGTCTGAAGATAAACAATCAACCACCATTTGCAATATTTTCCTAGAGGCAGCCAGACATTTGACAGTACCCAAACATTTTCATGGTGATTGCAGTATTGAAAATACCATGGTAGCTGAGTGGATAAATAGCTATCTGCAAAGTGATGAGTACACAAGAGGAAGGTGAGTATCTTTGGTCCGTCTGGCATCAGCTGACCTGTCTTCTCAAGTTCCATCGAGTTCCATAACATGTCAATTTGTAGAACCTGTGGTGTAAAACACCTCAGATTGGATGGAGAGATGTGCTGTGGTACAGGATACAGCATTGCCTGAGATCTATACTAGCCTTCTGGTCCCAATTCTATGTCTTTATAAGTTGTTCTGGCGTTTTCATATGAGATGTAGTTGCTGAATCTAAGAATCAAATCACAGTTTTTCTGCACTCATGGCTGCAAGGGGCTAGCTTCAGACATGTGAGGATGACACTAAGAACTGTGTGAAAATAGTACTTCATAACAGATTTTCCATCAGCATAGTAGTGTCCTGGCCATGCGACCATACTTCTCATGAAGTGGGAGGCGATTGCAAGCATCAAGTGTTTTTTGAAGCAATTGTCTAGTAAATTCATATTACTTAGGATTATCAGTAGATATTGATATTAAGAAATGGACTGTGACAGCAATGCATGGTTCAGTGTCTGTTGCAGGAAAGAGCCATGAACTTTGAAGCTGCATGGCAAATAGACATCTTTGCATGCAGCTACAGAGATCCAGAATGACATCGTGAATCCCGTTGGTGTTGATGATGGTGAAATGATTACCAAAGGCTGGTCATGGATGTGGGCATATTTCTCTGGCAAGATGTCCCACTTGATATCATGAAGAGGGACTTTATCAAAGTAATCGCTGTTCTAAAGCTTCAAAGCCAGTCAAAGATTGGGTTCTACACTGTAAATGTGGTGGATCATACCTGAATGATGTGTGTCAGACACATAATGTGCGACAAAATGATACAGGCCTGGCAAAATAGCTATGCATCTCAACAGGTGACACAGCAGAAGCCAATATCTGTCTAGGCTTTGCAAGATGGCATCTCCATGGTTCTCAGGCTTTCTGCAACATACTCATCTATACATGCACTGAATGTCAGGAGAGGCTTACTGGCAGCAAATTAGATATTATGTGAGCACAGAATACATGGGTAGATCTCACTGTGTAAATATACCATTGAGGGGGCCGTTGTTATGTCTTCCATGTCACCAGCTATAGCTAATGCATAAGTCTTGGGATCAAGGTGATACCTTCCATGCAGTGCATTATCCTGGTCATCAAGCTCATCAAATCAGGATATGGGATCAGGTAGATTATAGACATTTGCAGAAGATGCTGTTTTTTGTTTATGAGGGGAGACAGGAAGATGCACAAGGCCATGCTTGACTGAAGAGCTGCTTCCAGATGGGCTGGCAAATGACCATGAGTGGGGATGATGGTGATGCTGAAGTGGGAGAATGTCTGTGGTATTGGCATACAGTTCAATAGAATGTGTGTTCCATCCAATACGACATCACTTGCCTTTGGGCTTGGGAGTGTGAAGGACAGCCATCAATGGTATGGGGTGAATGAGTATCAGGTCTTAAAGGATACCAAACTGATACTAGTCAAGCAAGAGGGCTAAATGGAAAGCTCAACGAGTCTACCAGGCATGGCCTTCCACCACAAATTGTCATCAAGTTCATAATAAGTCATTTGTGATGTCTGAAACCAAAGTGAATCAAATTAACTAGTACCATCTACATAACATGACCTATCTCTGCTGATGATGCTTGTGGAACATTCAAATGTGCTGACCATAAGCAAGACGTCTATCGCAACACTCTTCAAATTCCTTCAACCAGCATAGATATACTCTGACTGCATACTTGGTTGTGTGAACTGCTGTTGACTTTGTGATCTGTTCAGGGGTTGGGGCCGGGGGGTTAACAATGTTGATTTGTCGCTGTACACGGATAATAGTTTGTTTGTTGGATTGTCGAGTGCTGAATTAATTCTGGTGGCCCTGGAGGATGGACCTCGGGTTGGTGAGTCACAGCATGAGCTAATTGTTTTTCATGAGTCTCTGGATCCAGAGCATTGAATAACCACCGAAGAGCATACTGCACATGCTATAGAATAGAAACATTAGAACAAGCTCAAGGGATGAAATCATTATTGTGCACCTAGCAATGTTCTATTAATCCACTATCACTATGATCTGTCAGTGGCCAGTATAGAATGTGCTGCTGCCATATTGTGTCCAGCCATACATCACTCAAGGCAGTATATTTACTGCTTTCAAAGAGATGAAAATGAACAACATTTTTTGCAAGATATTCTTCCTCTTTGTATCAGGAGCCTGTCTGGCAGGGGAAAAAGCTAAGTAGATGATGGTTGGATAATGGACCAGTTTAGCTTATTGCCACTATAAAATCAATGTTTCAGGTTTGTTCCATCATTTTCTCAGGGACAGAATTTAATGCCAGGAATTGTATGTTATTTATTGTTCGACAGGTGGCAAGAGAGGCATTGTCGAAGATAGTAGGTGGTACACATGACCTTCATGAGTGAGGAATTTTAGTGGCAGGGAAGTTATGGATGTTCATGTGCAGTTGATATATCGACCATTGACTGTAACCACAGTGCTTTGATATCACTGTCATGTATATCACTTAAGATTTGATATATCGATTTGTTAGGAGCCCTTGAAAGAAGCATCTAGGTCACTTGGTGAGTGAGTAGAAGTTAGGAAGCAGAGAAAATTCTCTGCTAGAATGTAATGGACAACTTTCAAGTGTAGTGATAACCAGAAAGCCTTGGTTCATTCAAGACGGTGATAGTCATAGCACAAATATTACAATTTATCAAACAGGCTCAAGTCTGGTGAAATCCCTAATAAAATCAGGGCTAAGCAGAGCTCACAACATGCTATAGCCTGCCACTCCAGTCAATATGGCTTCCAACCAGGCTGTCGGTATAAGTGCTTTGTGCCTGCCAGCAAGAATGTTGTTCATTACAGCATCCCATGATATCTCAGCCCTCCTTATGCATGCATGTGCGAAGATACTACCAGCGGAGTCCAGAACTTTGAATTCAAACTGGAGGATGAGGTTAGCCTGTCTGTGGTACATGATGCAAGTAGCATAGATATACCTTTAATCTGAAAGCAAAATCCTACCGGGGAAGATTCTTACTACCGCTCATGGTGTATAGCAGTGCCTTTGAGTGCTCAATGTCCTCCAAAAGAAAGGCAAAAAGTTCCATCCAGAAATTATGGCAGAGACTTGGGAAAAGCAGAAGAGCTGGAGGGGTTCCAAAGTCAATGTAGTCAAAAATTTCTGTTGGTGTGCAAGGCTTGCAATCATACAAATATGCAATGACATTGAGGGGTCCACATGGAATTGTCATGAAAGCCTTGTAGAAACACAATCAGACCTCAGGCAGCCGAGACAAGCGGGATTCATGCACCTTAGGTATGGTCAAGTCTGTACTAAATGCATCGAACACTTGATGAAACCCTTGACACATCTGCTGAAATGCTTTCGTTTGCCAGAAGATGGTGTTATCAACCACCAGTTCTGAAATAAGATCCTGTGTTTGGATAATGTGTTCCTGGGGAGTTCACATGTGCCTCAGCCCAATGTGGTGAGCCTAAAGAACATACAATCAGATTGATGAAAATTAAAAATAAAAAGTTTACCTGGAGTTGGGTCTGCAGTGAGATCAAGGCCTGTGGTACCAAATCACCCAGAGTGTTACTGATGGGATCTGTTGGTCCAAGGTAGAACCACAGACGAATGGCATTGCAAAGCTTGCAATCTAATGATTGAAGGATAGGGCCTGTTAGATCACCCAGATACTTAAGTGGATCTTGTCCCAGAGGAGGCAGTAAGGTAAGAAGAAAAACTGAATGCAAGTCATTGACTGGGAAACCTGTGTAGCCAGCATAAAGCAAAAAGCTGGCACCATCAGCATGCCAAACAGCTAAGTCCAATGGATTGTACACATGGCTAGGGAAGACAGGGACTTTGTACTTCCCAAACTGGGAATCTGTGTAATGTGGAGAGCCAAGAATTTGTTCCATTATGGCTCCATGAACCTGGATGTTAATGCCCAAACCAGTGGCGGTGTCTTGCATGTAATCTGAGAGGATTCGGAAGTCAGGCTCTGTGTATGATTGCAGGTTGTTCCAGTGGTCCAGAGGCTCTAGAAACCTATAAGCACTGGAAAGACCTGAGTTACAATGACTTACCTCTGTAGGCATCTCTGAACATGCAATGTCATGGCCTATATCAGGGTAGGTAAGGGTGTCAATTGGTTAAATTTTGAGATAGGTCAACACATCAAAATAAGGAACAATTAAACCATGCTAACTGAAGCTTCTGTAACGAGCATGCCAATGGAAACCCGACTTCCACTCAACCCAACAAACCACAGCCTGGAAATCTATGGATTCCCGATTCCCACTTTCTATTTCATATTCTATTTCATATTCTTTTATATTTCACTTCTCCATTACAATTTATCAATAGCCCAACATCGGTAGTGAATATGTCATCGGACCTCATCAGCTACCGACCAGTAGAATACATCCTCCGACAACTCTAGAATGTAGACCACTCTGAGTAGGAACTAGATCGGACTCCTAACTAGTATATAAGCCTCAGAATTACACTGTAGATACTCAGTTCGAATATCAACTTGGTTCAGCCCAATCTCTCTCTCTGACTCTAAGTCACACTCTCGTTCTCCAGTCCACGGAACTCTGATCTGCTGGACTTATCTCTTACCTCATCTCTACCACTCTGTGGACTTCCATCCATATCCATCTTAGGGCTTCGGCTCAGGGGTGATGTTGCTAATAGCTTCACCTATGCCTGACGCATTCCATGGCTTTTGCTATGTGCAGCCTCTGCCGCATTCCTATTGGCACGATCCTAACAGCTTCCTGTCCATGCAGTACAAAAATCAGATAAATTATCAGGGAATAGATGTAGGGCAGCCTACTTTGGATTCTTCATCAATGATCATTGGCTGATATGATGAGTGGACAATAAAGGCATCATAACGCAGAGACATACCGAAGTGAGCAATGGTGGCAAAGGTGTTTCAGGAACATTTTAACAAAACCTCAATCAATGGGACTTAGAAAGAAAAGAATACTAACCTCATCTTCATCATCAGTCAAGTCATCAGAGTAAAGGTTTTGTGGACAAAGGATATGGTAATACTGTCCGGTTGTCCCCCATCAGGGTCAGGATGTTGCAATTCTACATTGCAGAAATGGTGGGTGCTCAGAAAGATCACTGTTGGGTGTGAGGCCAACATTGCACCAGAAAAATGGAAGACAAGAAAGAATTGTGTCTGGGTAACAACTGTGTAATCTTTCCTGCTTCAAGTCAGCTATAGGTAAATTTGGCAGTTGGAGGTTGGGCCTACATGAGAAAAGATGCTTCAATTTCCCAATGCATGTTAGAAGTCGATGGAGCTGAAAAGTATCATGAAGAAATTTTGTAAGAAAAGGGTTACTGAGGTCCTTACCAATGAATAGTGTCCAATGCTTCTCATGGTTGGAATGGAATGGATCAAGGTCCAGTGCTGAATTGGGACCTACTCTTATGCACCACCTTTTGATGCTAGTAAGTGTGAAGTTTGAAGTTTGTAGATGACTTTCTTGTGAGCTGCGGTTGACTGCATGAAGGTAACAAACCAAGTGATGATCAGGAGCGTTGCCCCAGGCTTTATAGAAGATTTGAGGACACCACCCGCTGCTAGCTGGAGTTGTGGATATATCTGTGTTAACAGTCATGGAAAGCCGGTTCTCTGACCTGAAATGATCGATCATTGCCCTGTGAAGGTCTGTCCATATGTTGCAGTGAGAACTGTCATCTGTTGGCTGAATGGTAAGCAAGAAGGCAAGTCCCAAATCCCGAAGGATCCTGATGCTAGGAACCATATCCTCTTTCCCTACACATAGACTTCTGGGCTTGCAGGTGTTGTAAGTCATTCCCAACGGTAAGCATGGAGGAAGATTAGATAGAATGTGATCATAACAGTGTTTACACTAGTGATCGCTGGTAAGCAGGTGGTATGATACAAATGACCTAGCATACCTGCAGTGGAAGAATGCAAATCCATAATGTGAAAGCAGGCCCTCATCTGCACATGTTCGTTTGAAGATGCGGAGGTCTTCTGATTCAAAATGTGCAAAGCTGAATGTGTGCTTGACATTCAGATGTGGCATCAATCTGATGGTTTTCACCATGGGCATCATTTGAGAGTGTTCGAGCAGCGGTCGAGACTGGGGTATGATTCTGTAATGGCATGGTTCCACGTTCTTCGAGCCGATGCACATGTTCTGTAGGCCTCTGACTTTCTAATGTCGGTCTCACATAGGGCTGAATATGGTACGAAGCATGGGGGCATTCCACATAGCATGCAAGCTGTTCATTAGATTCTGGTGTATGTACCACCCCAGGCTGAATGACAGGCAATGAGGAGCATGGAGAAACCGGAGTCCACAAAGGACTTGCCAGAGCTGGAGGGGGTTCCATAGCACCGCTTGGAGAAGAAGGATATCTATTCATAATTGTGCCTAGCAGAGGAGAGACAGGGCTGACTGAAAATGGGAGGAGGGTGATGTTGGGAGTACTCGTAGTATTGACAATTCCACATGGGAGATACTCCAATGCTTGCATATATTGGGAAGGCAAGCTGAGACTGTCCTCCCAATGGTGTGGGAGTAGTAGTATTTGGTGACCATGATCTACTGCTTGCTTTGTAGGGGTTGAGGATAGGAATGTGATCTGTCAGGTGTGCAGAACAAGTACACATTGTTGCAGTCTGTAGAGAGTTAGCTACAGTTAGGTATCAATATTCCAGATATACCTTCTGAACAAAGGCGAAGCAGTCATTCGACAGCAGTTGGTTCATAATGACTGATTGAACATCAACATGTGAATGCACACCATGTGAACATCCTGAACATAGTGAACTCAGATTGCATAAGTGACCATATCATCATTGTGTTTACCTCTTCATCACTATGTGCCATGAAAGAGGATCGAGATTCAAATTGCATGCAAGAGCAGTTATAGAGGAGACATTGCCCTCATGGAGGCAAATCTAGAGATGGCATTGTAAGCTAGAGTGGTGAGAGTGCCAGGAAAACAATTTATATGGTGCAGTGACATTATAGTGCTTATCAAAATGTGAGCCAACCAAAGCGCACAGTTCAAGCTTTCAGGCTGTAGCCTGTGGGAGTTACTTTGGACCGGCAACAAAGTGATGGTCTCCGAGTCCGATGGTAGTGTGCTGGGCTTATATAAGCTTTAGCCTATCCCACTAAGCACAAACTCGCTATGTATGATTGACACTGAACACTACGTGATCTGTGTGGTAGTATGCGTGATTGAGAATTCTATCCCCAGTGCTGGGAGGTGATGGGAATGCTATTGAGGAATTAAGGTTGAGAAGCACTGAATAGACACCGAACAGGCACTTGATGGGCACTAAATGATCATGAGATGGGTGCAAGAAGTGAAGTTCAATTAAGAAAAATGCCACATAACTACTGTATGTACATATTTATTGGCATCATCCTCATGTGGAAGTGCTGGCCCAATAGGATACCTCAACACTCCCCCTCACTGACATGGTGAAGAGGCTGGCTGTGGGCACCTGTGGAATAGTGAGCAGGCTAAAAGGCAAACCTCAAAAACCCACACACACACTCACACAACTACACAAACTACAATCACCCTTGTAAGTTCTAGGGGGAGTGATTATTTCTAATGTGATCCAACTATATCTCAATATCTCAAAGAGTTTCTCTTATTCTCGATGCTCTTAGTGAAGCTAAGCTTTCTCTAATGAATTCCTAAGTCTAGGAACTTTGACAGGAAGGTCGTTCACTGGCAGATGCAACCTTCAAGGCAGATTCAAGTTAAAATATACAAGGGACACTGATCCCGACAGAAACAGAGACGATACACATTGAAACGATAGTGAGCTCACTAAAAGAACACCACAGGCAAGCACTGACTTAGCCCACTCGCTACACAACTGTATGTAGGGATTCTCCAACTAACTCCAGCAGGTTATCTCGACTCAAGAACACTTCAGAAGTGCTCGGAAACAGATTCAGAAATGAAACTTTGAACAGAACTGACACGGAACAGACTGAAACAGAACAGAACAGAACAGATCTCAGGTTTCCACTTCAACACATTCTCTGAACAGACTTATCACACTTAACAGAACAGAAACAGGATCACTGATTTGTATTCACTCTGACTAAGTTCTCAAAAGTCTTATCAAAAGGGTATCTCGTATTTCTCTGAGTGAGCTCGCTAATTCTATGCAAAGCTCGAAGTCACAAACTGATCCTTTGTTACAGTACCACCTTCAACGTGTGCATGGGAACTCAAGGGCTTGAAACTTGGCTTCTATCTACTGGAACCATCCTACTTATACTACAGGGAATTTAGAATTACAAATGTCATGCAGTATCCAGACCCCTACATGCATAGTACATTGCCACCGCTGCCTTACTGAGCATCCAAGTCGGACTTTCCAGTTTTAGTCTCATTTCTATAGTGAGCTTGCTAAATGCATGCCAAGAGGTGCTCTCCTGACACCTGCAGGCTTGTTCTCTGACAACTGACAGATCTAGGCATACAGAACTATCACTTCTGACATACATCCTTCAGTACTTCTTTCTTGGATTCTGTTAGCGACCGATTACACAAACAAGATCAAACAACTAAGCGTGACTCGCACTTCGGTCAGGCGCTTTATGTTGCTCGCAGGTTTGCGTGCAGGGGGCTATCGCTTAGCGAGGCAAGAGTGAGTTCAGACCAAGTTATCGGGTGAATAAACTTTAGTTCGAGACTGAGGTTTAGGACCTGCAGTCAAGCTACTTAAATACAGTTTGAGTCGTCCTAAGTATAGTACAAGAGTCTGTAGCAGTGCGGTAGACACACGATACATGCATGGCGTAGTGCGATCAGAGTCGGAAAGTTGGCATAGCAGGATTACGATGAGGTTGATAAGATAAGATAAAGCGCAAAATCATAATATTACCCCCCTGTTAAGGCAGTCGTCCCGACTGCAGCGTAGTTTGGTCTTGGTAGGTAGGCGCCTACTAGAGTTTCCGGATTAGGCCTTATGAAGTATTCTTGTATGGCCTGTACTAGTGGGTGGTCGACCTCGGATTCCGTTACCGACTCTGTTTCTGACCACGAGTCGGATTCGTCTCCGTTCTCCCACCAGT